GCTAAAGGGTTAACGCGAATGGAATACCTTTCCATCGAAAAAACGAAGGAAAAGATAGGAGTGAGAGAGAGAGAGGAAGGAAGGAACGTCGGCTACAGGGTTCTTCGAGGCAGTAAATTTCTGCGTCTAAGTATATCGCGCGCCTCGTCCCTTCCAGCTCCGCCGTATAAATTTCCCCGGATAATCCCGCAAAAACCGAGGTGAAACGGCGTCGACCGCCAGACAAAAAGTCGACTTTTAAAGGGTTAAAAGGGAGAGTCGACTGGTCGTTTCCACAACAGTCTTCTTGCTTACGTTCTCCCATACAAACGTAGACACACGGAGTCTTTCGCGTGTGTTGTTCCGAGACTTTCGATCCAAGGCACGCCGCTAATAAAACGCTAATTAACGTTTCGCCTGGCCGAATCGAACGGGTCCGCTCTTCTCGCGGGACCTTGATTCCAGGCTGGCTGATTAATTACCGGTAGCTTCGTCCCTCTACCACGAATTTCTCTTGGTATCGCGATCGACTGGTTGTGTTACACCCTGTAAAACAGATAGAGAGAGAGAGAGAAAAAAGGGAAAGAATCGAACTGGTTTATCTACTACCGTTAGCGGCGCGATTCCCTCTCCGCTCGTAATCGCCGACAAATAGACGATCGACGAAGTTTTTGCTCTCTCTCTCTCTCTCTCTGGACTCTCTGGTTCGCGTAATTAGGACGTGAACTTCGACGAACGGGGTCGTCGAATCGTTTCGAATCCTCTCGCTTGGCGTTGATTGGACGCCTTTCGCTGGTCGATCGTCATTTTGCTCTGTTGGTTTTCTCCACTACTATTGTTCGCGGAGGAGAGAATCACACACAGGATCTCGTATGCAATTAAAACGAACGTGATTATCGTTTGTCTTCTAATGTATTACACTAACGTAGAAACACTCGGTTGCAGTAGTGTGTGTGTGTGTGTGTGCTGGAGCGGGGTAATAACAGTAATCGTATAAATCTCTGCAGTCCCCAATTGCCATCCAGAAGGACCTAACCACCCGGAGCTCTTGCCTGCTCGCTACCTTGCGCACACACACTCCTATTTACCCACCGCTAACAACCACACAACGTTACATTGAAATTTATCCGCACGTGATTGATACTACACGGTGAATACGCCTCTTCAGCGTGGATCTCTCCATTGAGAAGACTCCTCCGGGTTGTGAAGCGAACGGTGATTCGCGTCGCGAGACAGGCCGATTGAACGGCGCCGGGGAAAGCGCGTCGGAGCGGAAATCGGGAAGAAGAGGACGATGGTGACGATTGGAGAGCGAGGGGGGAGGACGGTTTTTGACAATATCACTCGGAGAGAAAAGAGAGTCTTCAACAGTGTATTACTAATAGAGAAGGAGAGAGAGAGAGGGTGGAGGAGAACAGTTTTCAACAATATTACTCAGAGAGGAAAGAAGAGAGGGAGAGAAAAGTTTTCCTCGGAAAGAGAGTCTTCGACAATATCACTCAGAGGGAAAAACAGAGAGAGAGAGCAGGTTTCCTCAGAAAGTGAGTCTTCGATAATATCACTCAGAGAGGGAGAGAGAAGAGAGAGAGAGTGGAGAGACAGGGAGCAGTTTTCCCCAGAAAAAGAATCTTCGACAATATTGCTCAAAGAGAAGAAAAGAGAGGGAGAGAAAAGTTTTCCTCAGAAAGAGAGCCTTGGACAATATCACTCAGAGAGAAAAAAGAGAGAGAGAGCAGCTTTCCTCGGAAAGAGAATCTCTAACAACATCACTGCCAGAGAAAAAGAGAGAGGAGAAGAAGGTGGAGAAGAACAGTTTTCAACAATATCACTCAGAGAAGGAAACAAAGAAAGAGAGACAGCAGTTTCCCCCAGAAAGACAGTCTCCAACAATACACTCAGAAATAGAGGAAGAGAGCAATATCCAAGAAAATCTCTCAAACCGAGAAAGAGAGAGAAGATCGAACGACTAGTGACAAGTGTTTCGTCGTTACGAAACGAAAATACCGCGCTACCCACCTGTGTACCCTGTCCCAGAGGTGACAACGTCTGTTTTCGATTACATCCGGCCGAATACGAAGATTCCCCGGGTGGAATTTACGCGAGCGTGTATTATTTCGCGAGCGGAACGGAGGTTTCAGCCGCGGCTACCAGCTGTCAGATGGAGGCAGCCGACTGGAAAGAGAATTTCTGAGAGCACCGCACAGCCCAGGCCCCCGGTAGTAGTTTTTGAACGGTCGGCAACTGTACGCGAGTCGAGCCCCATCTTTGTTGCTCGTTGAAAAGTGGCCGTGCTCGAGTAGCACGAACGAACAGGAGGAAGAAGAAGAAGAAGGGACCACCGTACGTAGTACGTATGTACGTGGCTCGTGTAACCTCAAACGAGACATTCACATGCCTCGTTGAAATCTTTGCGGTTCTTTCAGAACACACACCGCCCCCGATTGTCTCGGTTATGGCTCTTTTCCCTCTCTTGTGCAGTCTCTTAATTTCCAACCTTTACGCAACATTGTCTAATTACGAAATGGGAAAACGAACGGGTTTTGTTGGTACTCTGATGGTCCTTTATTAAAATGCTATGTTACTCCGAACTAAACTGTCAACCACAGAGATTTTACTCGAAGTTTCGGTACGATTTCATTAACCCAGTCGTGCTCCGGTGTTCTATTTACACCAACGAAGCTACCTACAACCCGTGTCCTATATTCAACGTTTCCGTTTTAAATTCTCGCATGATCAACCTGTCCACTTTTCATCCACCTTTTGTTTAATTCCTCCCGTTCACGAGGAAAGCGACGTTTCCGTGTATCATTTCCTCCGCCATGTTATCGGGCCTTCGTCGTCGACGCATTGTTCCCCCGCTTTAATGACACACGACTCTCCGCCGATATTTATTTTCCGCGTGATCGATCGACGATCCATTAGCCTACCCGAAGCGATTTCCAAGCAGAAATTGCGCCGTCCGACCGCAACGGTGCCGTCCGTTCGATCGTAAACGTCCTTCTACGCGTATTTCTCCTCTGGTTCCCGGGCGAGAACCGCAGAAGATGACATTTTACTCGTTACCTTCGCGCTCTTTCTTCCTCCCTTCTTCCGCGACTCTCTTCATCTTGGTCAGGCTCTGTCCATTACGGTCCGCTCGGAAGTGTGCGTGCGTCGTGGCTTCACAGGAAGACAAGGCGGCTCGCTTTAAATCCCTCTTCATCCCCTCGGAGTTGGCATCGCGCAACTCCGACGATATTTCATCCCTCGCGGTCTCGTTCCTCGCATAATATCAAAGGGAAGCTCGAAAGAACGGAACGAAAATCCTTCCGAGCAAGAAACTCTACTCTACCGCCTGGATTTTCCGGCCAACCTTTCTCTCTCTCTTTCTCTTCCACTCCTGAACACTCTCTTTTCGATTCGATATTCCGCGCAGCGGTGTTTGGACTGTGCTTGCAACAGATGTTCTCGTTAGTTCTTGAAAATTTTCCTTCGTTTTTTCGCTGACTTTTTACAGATGTCAGGATTTTTCAGTGCTACATGTCGCACAGCGATGACTTTTTACTTTCGTGTTTTCTTCTCCCTTTCTGTTTTATCTTGGCACTGTTCCTGGCGCAGAGAAATTGTGTGTTTTTCGATCCTGAACTGTTGCTTCTTTGCTGCCTGCGAGGGTGAATCTTTGGAGCTGAGCTGCTTATTGTGTTGCCGTAGGGCATAAAGGGCGATATTTGGGCATTAGAGCCTAAATTTTCATTACAACTGCTGTTCTTCACTCCGTTTTAACGACTGTCGGTATCACTTGCTCTTAGCTTTGCCCGCGGGCAACGGTGGTTGCCCGTGCCCGAAAAAGGGCTACTTTAACACGTTTTTCGTATGTTTGTTGCATATGACACCATCTGGTCGCTTCTGTCGATGCCACTTTTACCAATATTGTACTCTCTTATCGCCAAAGGTTTCATTTTCGTAGGACGACCGCGATGTGTAGAATTCGAGCTTGGAGTCATGATGGAGTCTTGGAGTCTTCCAAATCCAAAATAAGCTACTTACCAATAAGATTATTTCGGAACAAAACAATGTATCAATTACATAGGTCGATAGCACTGTAAATGTAGATAATCGACAATGCATGGATCTACTCGAGTTACATTGTTGGTTTTCCCGCATATCTCTCCGCTATCGTTCTAGTGCGCCGAGATAAAAACTTGGGCCGGTAGGAAACAATACGTAATCACGCTTGGTACGCAACGTGTTAAGAGTGTTTCTTGTTTTTCAAATAAACACTGGTCCTTTTCTTCTTTGGAGCATCAGTAGAACCTTTAATTTCGATGGTTACATGAAAACGGGGCTAAAAATGCGTACAAACATCGAGACTCGGGCAATTAACGAGGAAACCTATCTGTCGCACGAGACTAAAATCCACACTTCTCTTTCTATTGCATTACATTCTGTTTACTCGCAACTAAGTAATAATCCTTTCCACGCGTTGAAATGCAACAGCTGAAGTTGCAGCAATCAAGGCTCCACTTTACCATCAGTTACGAAACAGCGAATCGAATTTTTCGCAAGTTAGACATTTTCTAAAATTTATCCTTTCCACGAACGAATAGGATCTTCACTCAGATAGTATCCAGACAGATAACTAATACGAGCCCGGTAGACGGTAATTAACAGTGGATCTAGCTGTATCAACATCCGAGGCTCATTCACCGCACACAAAGCGGATGCGACCTCTCGTCTCGATCGAATTTCCCCTGACGTAAGGAGCTTAACTCGGACGACCCGGTTTTTCCCGACCTTCGTCGAAGTAACGGGCCTCGTTCGTCGGTCTTTTGTGGCGACGCCACGCGTCGTGGAATTCTCTGCGCGTAAAAAGCTCGTGTTCCCATCGAGAAGCTATTTGCAAACGTCCACCGAGCACAGAGAGGAATCTTCTGCATCCACTTCGTCTATCCACTATCAGTCGTAAATAAGCTTCGAGCTCGATGAGAGAGTTTCTCTGTGTAACTTATACGCAGACGGTCCCAGAGAACGTACACACGATCATGGCTGTGCCACTCGTGAGTATACACAGAGTGTGCAGAGGAGATGCCTTCTGAGTAATCTCTATCCTGTTGAACTCCGGTCACGCTGAGGCAAAGGGAAGATTGATAACTCCTGGATAGATCCGAGAGCTTGGTCCAAACCTTGTGTAGCAAGAAAAGCACACACACACCGTGTATACTTGGACGATATTCCGTTTGTGGTTTCTTTCCTTCAACTTTTTGGCGCTCTTCTCAACCCCTTTCTCGGCCGTTTTTGGCAATCATTCGGAGAGATTCTTCGATACTTTTGCGTACATAGGGTAACGAACTCTGATAAACTATCTTCGGTATGCGTTCATACGGGATCAGAGTTTAGAGCCTGACTCTACTTGTTGATGGTAAAGAAGATTTAGTGAATTTTGGTAATCCGGGAAATTTCTTCGAATATTTCTGCTCGTTTTCTCTCGCAACGACGAAGAAGAGAGTGCGAGGAGTGGGTAGGATGGTTATTCTCTTTGGTCGACGGCTAGGTTCGATGAAAAGCCAACACTCGGCTGACAGTGTACGCTCTCGCGGCTGCTAATTTGGGCGCGGGCAACAAACCAAATTTTCTCGTGACGCGTCACGACGCGAGGTAAGCAATCTTTGGCTATGCTTTACACACGTACAAGAGTTATTCGTCGTCCGCCGCTTGCCAACTGCCGAGATTCTCAGCTCTCTCCTCTTCTCTCTTTCTCTCACCTCTCCACGTTGCTCACTTTGCTCCTATTTGCCTGCCGCATAAGGCGGCCGTTAAATAAAGTTTCACCCTTGCTGAACCTCTCTTTCCTCTCAGCTGTAGCAGACGACCGACTCGTCCGTTATTTTTTTCATCCTCCGGTCTTCTCCCAGAAGAAATCTACGGCGGTGTGTCCTTGATTAAAACTCATCGGACGTCTACTTGTTAATTCGTTCAGCCGTAACTTCTTACACTACGAACGATTTGTTTCCACCAGAGAGAGAGAGAGAGAGAGAGAGAAGTTTCTCCTTTAGTTTGAATGGAAAAGAAGGGAGAAAGAAGGAGTGTTGGTTGGAAAGAAAATTCGTAGACAGCGGAAACTTTTGGAACGAGCAACGACAGATGTCCCTGCTTATTCGCAATTTACGTTCCGCTCGGCTCGCAGAACAAATCTCGAAAATGGATCGTCCGAGGGATACACAGAGAGAGAGAGAGAAAGTCCCGCGTGCCCGTAAGTGGATGAAAGCGGTGCACAGCCCGCCCCGTGAATCGCTTTTATCCATTCACAGTTGGAATTTGCACGATCCTGCGTGTGTAGGCGTGTGCGTGGTGGTTGGTTTATGCCCCTGTGTGTCTGAACGGATATATTCTCACGCGAGAAATCTCTACGTGCTCGTTTTCCCAGCTTTGCCTATTTTTATGCGTCTATACCGGTTCAATCGACCTGTTAATCTGTCTCTGATTTAAGAATCTTTGGTTTCGAAACTGTGAAAAATCAGGATTTATGCGTTTTTTACCGTGACGTCCCGGTTTTGCCTGAATTTTGAGAAACTGAGGGCTGAAATCCGGGTGACACTTAGATCGGAGCAATTGACCCTTTCGCTGCGGGTTAGTAGACGATAGATATTTAACCCTTTGCAATCGAGTGGCGACTGAGAAGCGACATTGTTTGTCACTTGGTAAATAATGAATCAAGACAGAGAGCAGATATATGGGCCTCCGTGAATTTGTTCACCGTAGCGAAATAACGAATGCGCTGGATATTGAAATAAAATCGCATAGTTTATTTCTACGTTAGTTTGAAAAAATTTCGAAGAATATCCGATTTGCAACCTTTCCTATAGCAAAATCGCAGCCGTAAAATCTGTACTTTCGAAAAATATTCGAAAGTTTAAATCCCAGGATTCGTCGTCTCTAAATTTCTTTCAGCAAATTAAGGTGGAAGCGCGTAAAGGACAGACATGGAGGACTGAAAATTTTCAAAGCGCCCATAGGCGCCAACAGCAGTGAAAGGGTTAACGATCGACGTTGCGTAGAAAAGAAACTTTATCAAAACTGACGTGCGGATGACGATACAGAGAGTGGCTGGGGGATGGAAAGATGGGGCTGTTTAAGGGTTTGAGGAAGATGAACTTTGGATTATCACTGTGTAGGAGAGTTGAAAGGTTAAGAGCCCAGTGTGAATAATGGTGAAAATTGGGGGGACAAGTTCTGGATACAGATAAGCCTAAAACTGGCAAAGAGAATATTAGAGGGTGTAACACTACGATAGGGGGATGATTAGCAAATTCTTCAATATTCGAAAACGAAGGAAAGTTCGTTACGAGATCGTGGAAGGATGGTAGGAGAGAGAAAGACAGTATTGGTTAGCCGAGAGGCTGCGATTGCGGGAATTTGCGTCACGGCGCGTCGTTTCTTGTTAACGACGAGCGATGCTCGCGTTACGACCGCGTATATTTCACCGTTTTACGACGTTTTCGGCGATGGTTTTACGGCTCGGCCCGCGTGCACGCGCGGCGGTGGTCGCTCGAAGGTGAAACACTCGCCGCGATTAGAGAGTCGTGAAAAAGAGACGACGAGCTCTTCAACCGGTAGTCAAAGAGATACATAGTTATCTAGAAAGTTCGAGAAAGATGTGCTTATAAGAGAAGCAAAGCTGGAGCGTAAGAGAGAGAAGAACGAGGAGGAGACACGATTGAGCGTAGGTCTTGTGTGTGGTAGGGGGAAGTCCCTGACCTGGTCACCTAAGCGTTCCTCTCTTTTCTTTCCATCGCGAGTTTCCCTCGCAACTTCTTGCGGCCATGCGTTTATGTCATCTCCGGCCTGGGATCCCTCTCTAACGCGTAATTAGCCAGATACTGAGAGCATTCTCTCCGCTCGTGAGACCCTTTTCGTACGTGATTCGAGGAGAAAAAAAATGTTGGCCAACTGTCGTCGAGATTGGATCTAGACTGGGGTAATCGAAAGGCTCGTCAATCAGATCACGATAAACCCTATAATCCGGCGTTCTCTTTTTGATCGTGTTTTCGAGAGTGAATTCGCTGAGGGGATCATGGCAGAGATTCGTTCATAAACATAGGTTTGTCTAATTAAATTTTTGCCTCTGTGGAATTTTTATTATAATTGTGATACAATATAACACTGACTTTGAAGAATATGATGAAAACGGGGTGCTCTTGTGAACACTTTCTTTCTTGCATTGCCAAACGTTGACAATTTTTCATCGCTTCATTAGGTCATACTTATCGACCCTCCTCTTCTTTCGCTTATTTCTACAAGATTCACAGACGAGAAAGTTGTGGTTGCAGCTCGAATCAAATTTGACTAATTAAAATTTCGCCTCTGTAGAATTTTTATTGTAATTGTGCTACAATATTACACTGACTTTGAAGAATAAGACGAAAACGGTGCTTTTGTGAACGTTGACAATCCTTCATCGCTTCATCAGGTCATATTTATCGATCCTCCTCTTCTTTCACTCTCCTCCCTTCTTTCCTCTCTGCAAGATTTGTCGAAGAGGAAGCTGTGGTAGCAGCACGAATAAAATTTGTCTAATTAAAATTTCGTTTCCGCGAGATTATTATAATAATTAGGGCACAAGATAACGCAGAGTTTGAAGAACGAGACGAAGACTGTTTTCCTGTGGTCAGTTTCTTCGTTGCATTTTCAAACATTCTCAATCCGTCATGCTTATCGATCCTCCTCTTCTTTCACTGATCTCTACAAAATTTGTCGAAGAGGAGACTTCGATAGCAGCTCGAATGAAATTTGTCTAATTAAAATTTTTTCTCTATGCAATTATCACTACAATTGTACTAAGATATAGCACAGACTTGGAAGAACAAGACAAAAACACTCATTCTCAATCCGGCATACTTACCGATTCTCATCTCTACAAGATTCGCCGACAAGGAAACTTCGATAGCAGCTAAAGTTTCTCCTCTGTGGAATTATCACTACAATTATACTAAGATATAACACAGACAAAAACATTTTCTTTGTTACATCGTCAGACATTCTCGATCCTTCACCGCTTCATCAGGTCATCCTTATCGATCCTCCTCTTCATTTCCCCATCTCTACAAAATTCGTCGACAAGAAAACCTCGATAGCAGCTCGAATAAAATTTGTCTAATTAAAATTTCTTCTCTATCAAATTATCACTACAATTATGTAGTATCGGGGCCTCCATACCCAAACAGGAAACCTCGAAGGGAGAATAGAGAGGGAGTGGTTGGCGTAGCGCGCAAAGCCTCGGCTTGCTAAGCCAAAGGTCCCGGGTTCGATTCCCGTTGGGTCTCTCAGTATTCTTCCGTCGATGCCTACAGTTATACTAAGATATAACACAGACGAAAACACTTTCTTTGTTGCATCGTCAAACATTCTCAATCCGGCATACTTACCGATTCCCCTCCCTTTCCGCTCATTTCTACAAGATTCGTCGACAATAAAACTTCGATAAAACTCCTCTACCAAATTATCGCTACAATTATACTAAAATATAAGACAAAAACACTTTGTTTGTTACATCGTCAAACATTCCCAAACCTTCACCGCTCCATCAGGTCATTCTTATCGATCCTCCTCCTCTTCCGCTCGAGATTCGCCGACGGGGAGGAGGTGTAGCTGTGGTAGCTACCACTAGCAGAAGCACCACCAGGCAGCACCTCGAATTAATGATTTTCTTCGAAAATTGCACTTGCCAGGGCATCACGGCGATGCACATCGGGTGCTCGTTAAAGAACCGGCTGGTGGCATTCGCCGGCACGGTCAGAAAAAGGGTGCCGGTGTGAACAAGTGTACGTGATTTATAGCGCGCTCATTAATCACGTTAAGTTTCCTCGGGCCCTCTCTCCGCCTCCTTATTAAACCACGATTTGATCTCATTGTCCCTAAAGACAAAGGCGTAGAGATAGACGTAGAGGCAGGCCGGCAGGGAGTCGGAGAGATAGAGCGAGGCGAACAGGAGGGATCATAAACGCGCACACGAGCTGTCTGTCTGTTGTATTGTGTACAGGCTACGTAACAATGTAACCGGTGCGCGCACCGCTCGAACACGAATTTCTCCTCGCGGCGGCGGCTGCACCGTCGTAAACTTGCCAGCCACTGTTACGCCGCATTAATTATTATTGCTCGTATATACCGGCTTTCGTACGCATGCTTCTTCGCGAAGAAACGGGGAAACGGATCAATTTTATAGACGTTTATCCCGATCGTAAAAACCTGTTTCTTATCTTCTTTGATCTTTTACGAGAGCCCGCGTGATCCTTCAATCTCTCGCGTATTATATTTAAGTGTCATCAAGCGAGCGAATTGCTGGCGAATCGACGGCTAAGATTGGTGGAAAGATTTTTGGAAAAATTGATAGACAATCCTGCGCTTCTAGGAAAATTGGATAATATCGTGCGATTAAAATTTCTTTCTAGTCGATCCTTTACGAGATCGCGAAGGTGATCCTCCGATCTGTCGCTAATTACGTTTAAGTATTAAACGAATCGCAGTTGAGAAAACGTTTCAAATTGGTAGACAGATTTCTAGAAAAATTGGTAAATAACTTTGTGCAGGGAGAGCATGAATAATGCAAAATGGAGCGGTGCACGAGATATCATTCCGTCGCGCACGATACTTGAGAAACTGGTCGATCTTCCGCAAAATTGATCTTAACGATCTTAACTATCGCCAGCCTAACGCAAAGCATCTAAAAAAAAAAACGTCAAAAATTCCCAAAAATGATTTCTCCGAAAGTAGATAAATAACCCTGCGCAAGCGGCATGAATAATGCAAAAACCCAACGCTACACGCGAATGAAATATCATTCCGTTGTGAATTGCAAATAACCATCGGATCGTTGCAACATGTTTTTCTCCATTTTGACAATACATCTTCATTCTATCGTCCCGGAAAATAAAATCGATCCCCCGAATAATCGACATTCGTATGATTCCAGGTGAACCCAGACGCCCGGGACAGCACGACGCAGCAGATCCAATCGAAACTAGGCAACTATTCTCTAGTGAAGCATCTCCTGGACGAGCCTAAGCGTCTGATCGGCATCGAGGGTGTACCGCCGAGTCCAGCCCCGTCCCCGTCACCCTCGTCCCTTAGAACGAGTTCCAGTTCAGTCGGCTCGAATTCCAGGAGCTCGCCCTCCACCCAAGAATTCAAGAAACCCGGAGGGCCGAGGTCGAGCGGCGGCACGTCCTCGTCGTCGTCCTCCGCGTCCTCGTCGTCCGCGGTGGCTACCCTGGCCAACCGGTGAAGCACGGAGGTAACAGCAACGATCATCGAAGCCACGGTTTATTACCGGCCAAAGGACCACCCCCGAATTCACCGGGGAACGGCACGCTCGTTGGCAATTCGAATATCGGGAATTCCAGCGGCAGCAGGCTTCACTGTGCCAGCAGCAGACTGTCCAGGTTACCTCTCGATAACGTGAGTATCGATTTCCATTGTTTCGTGGCCAACGCCGCCGCCACCGCCGCTTCCTCCGCCTCTGATCGTTTCTACCCCAAACCCTCTCTCCACTCTTCGCCACACACACCACTGTCCTTCCGCTTCGTTCTTGTTTACACGGGTAAAATGTGTATCGCGCAGACGATGTCACCGGTGTCGTCTCTGATTCTCTCCTCTTCCTACTTCTCGTCGTTGTCGGCCCGATGCCAACGTCCACCACCCCCGCGCTGTGTAATGGGTTTATTAGCGTTTACGGATACCGCGTTTTCTTTTACCCGGACTTTTCTACGTTATTAAACGGCCGAGGGGAGAGTGCAAGGGTGGCTAAATCGGGGATCTTGTTGATGCACTTGTTGCTGCTGATTAGACCTCGCTGGATTTCTTAGCCGAGTTACTAAACGGCTTAAGAGGGTTCACGTTTTTGGGGAATTGCCGCGGAGGAAGTATTTCAGATACGTTTCACGGGGATGGAAGTTTATTATGTTCTTAAAGCTAACGACCGGTGAAAGTATCGTTTCGAAGGTTCTTTTCGGAATTGGGCGATGAGAAAACCACCCCTTTAACTTCTGTCATGAGAACGACAAAATATCGTACGATTCTTTGACGCAGTTCTACGTCGTTTTAAAATTTCCAGCTGATCTGCGTGGATGTAGTTCTACGTCAGTTTAAAGTCTACAGCTAGTTACCTTCGAGATAATTCTACGTCGTTTTCTAAACTATAGCTGGTTACCTCCGGCGTAGTTCTACGTCATTTTATATTTACAGCAAAAATTACACCCGTTTTATAATTATCAGGACCTTTTTAGTTGGTTCCTGGAGTCTGAACTGAATTCAAAAATAAAAGGAAATTAAATTAGTCAGAAATCGTTAAATCTCATTTTCTCTCCAATTTTAATTCCGGAATCCCGTTGCATTTTGTTATAGGTATTTTTAAATTGCTCGCTGCATCCGGCTAAGGCTCTTTCCAATCCGATGCTCACAGTTTACCAATCTATTTTCGCACTTCAAAAATAAAACGAAACAGTTGATTTTCAATCGTACGTATCCTTATTTTCACGTGAACATTGAGCAACAACTGCTTCCTCCAGTACTTACACACTTTTTCCCTCAATCGTGCCACAGCGAAAGAGTTCGCTTCTCGAAAAGAAAAATCGCCCAACGTACTTACCAAAAAAGCCACTTAAAACCTAGTACTACACCTTTCAAAGCAACGTTAGCCGCTCCAGCCTCGTTCACAATTCTCTAATCCAGCTTGGAAACCCTAAACTACCATCCACTTCCGCGAACTTTCATCCCCCTCGGAGAACCACAACAGAGATACTAAGGGAAGATCCAATCAGCGGATAAAATTACCCGAACTTTTCCAAAGATACTTTCGCCGCTGTGGTGCTAGCTTCTTCCTCGGATCGATCCTCCCGGGGAAAAGATCAAGCGTTTCCCTGTATTAATCGACAAGTGACAATAAAGAGGTTATTACCGCCTCTCGCGCTCACATCCGGCCCCCCGCGACGAGCCGCCTCCGGCCTCGGTATTCGATGAAAGCATCGTGGCGACAGGTTCGTTGACAGGAAACGAATTGCTTTTCAATGGAAATCCCGCTCGAGGACTACTACACGTGATAAGGGCTGCGCAGACGGGGGAGGGGAATAGGAGAGAGGAAACGGGAAGAAGGGGCGAGTTTGGTCGAGCCCTATTACGCGTGACTCCTCGAGGTGCAAATTTCATTGAGATTGACTATCGATCGAGTCCTCTTCGCATTCGGTTTGTACCGTGTCTGTCTATCTCTCTTTCCCCTCTCTACGCTCTAGAGCTCGTCGAGGGCGTAGCTCTCCTACCGGTGTACTTATACAATTAGGGTTGGCTGGAGAAACGCCGACATCCACTCTTACCCCTGCCCCCATAGTCGGGAAAATTCATTCCCCTACCGGCTCTTTCTTCCTTCTTTTATCTTTTTCCACACTCTCGATCCTCCCTACTTGTTCGTCGCTCGATTGTTCGGAGTTTTTATCTAGGAAATTAGCCGTTTCGGTGGCACCGGGTATCGTGGAAATCTGACCGAAAGATGCTGTCGCGATTCTTTCGGTTCACGTGGAAAAATTGCAAAGATTTTGTTTTTCATATTTTTGCTGAATACGAGTCGTTCGGGAGTAAGACGGAACAATGTGCGGGATTTTTGTTGAATTTTTTGTGAAAAAATGGACGGATTACAAGAAATGCACTTGTCGACGTCAAAATTGGCACTGAAACGGTCAGTAGGAGAATGCGAAACCGAGGAAATCTTTGTAGCGGAGCGTACGCTAAAACAGTATGTAAAGACTGAGGTGCGTGATTCCTCCTGATGCCATCAGTTGATTGGGTAACAGGTCATGGATGGCGCTGGGAGGATTATTGGGCGCCAAAAGCGAGGCTCGATTGTCATTTCTTTCCTCCGATGGGCAGATTGTCTTGCTCGGCGTCGATGGAGAGAAAGACGACACGCGCTCGCGTTGTGTAAATTGTGAAAAATAAAGTGCTTCACCCAGATTGTAACCCTTGCGTTATATCTTGGTGATTGTTTTCTTTCAGTTAATGTGGAAAAATGACAAAAATTTGGTCTTCGACATTTTCACTGAACACGACTCGTTCGGAAACACGAAACAATTTATCTACAGGATTACAAGAAATACAATAAAATTTCGTCAAAACTGGCACTGAATCGCTCGCGTTGTATAAATTGTGAAAAATAAAGTGCTTCACCCAGATTGTAACCCTTGCGTTATATCTTGGTGATTGTTTTCTTTCAATTAATGTGGAAAAATGACAAAAATTTGGTCTTCGACATTTTCACTGAACACGACTCGTTCGGAAACACGAAACAAAGGCGAAATTGATTATCTACAGGATTACAAGAAATACAATAAAATTTCGTCAAAACTGGCACTGAACCGGCCAATAGAAGAATTAAGTACAAAACCGAGGAAATCCTAGCGATTGTTTCTTGCACGAAGAAATGGTCAACTCTCTTCAAATTACTTCTTTCGTGAGAAGAGAAGAACGTTCTTCTCGTTTCTACGTAAGTTTCACTTGCGGGAACCGTTGACGTGCTAACGATACACAATCGGGGATGATTCGTCGGACGAAGTTTCCTCCCCTCCCGGAATTTTTCGTCTCCTTGGTTTTCCGCGGATGTCCTCGGGGCAGCAGCCGTCAGAGGCTTCGGTCCTCTTGCTTCCCCAGTTTTCTCTTCCCCTCCTGGTCTTTTTTAGCCTTCCAGGTCCACGCGTTTTCCCCATTGTCCCCGGGTTTTTCTCCCGGGTGATGACTACTCGACGTGTTCCACTCTGTAATGGGTGTGCGCGGCCGCTCTTTTCAGCGCCTCTCTTCCTCGAGAGAGTGTTGATTAATGATCGCTCGAGAGCTCGTGATAAATCGCGGAAAGGACTACGCGAGAGTTTCGCCGCGGCGACGTCGTCGAATCGGAATCGTTTTAATTAAGAGCCGCGGCCGCGGTACGTGCCACCGTCCGACTACGGTTATCGTCGTTTAATTCCATCGACTCTGGCCTAGTTGGCAGACACACGGTATCGCGGGATCGTGTGGAGCGGGAAGAAAATTTGTCTAGCTTGCTTGTGCTCCTCGAGTTTCCTCCTCTTGCACGCTCCTTTTTTTTTCTTTCTTTCAGGAGTTACGTTTATTTGGGTAGGTTGAGAGAATGTTTACGTGAGATGGACGTGGAGTGAGAAGACATCTTTCGACTGGAGTAGCTTTAAATTCAATTTATGTAGATATTTTTGTGAAATGAAAAATTTTTACTCCATTCAGATACATGTAACTCCTCTTGAAGCATTTTAACGCGTTCAGGACGGTAGGGAAATTCATGAAATGGTCGCTATTGCTGGTGTTTATTATCATTAATACCTAATTTTTCAGTTTTTAATCACGTGCTTTTTTTTATAGAATATTATACAATAACGAGGTGATTCTCGATGGGTCACACCGTCTATTCAGTCTTTTTTATCATTTATGCTGGAATGACCCATCGGTGAGTCACTTTGGCAAATAAAAATATCACTCGGTGACCCACTGTGATTCACGTCTATTCAAACCTTTTTATCATTCATGGCGGAATAACCCATAGATGGGTCATGTTAGCAAATAAAGATATCATTCGATGACCCATGGTGGGTCACACTCTCTATTTAATTTTGCCATCAATGCTGAAATGCCCCTGTAATGGTTCACGTGGACAAATAAAAGCATCCCTCGATGACCCATAGTGGGTCACACACTGTCTTTAATTTTACCATCCATGCTGAAATTCCCCAACGATAGGTCACGTTAACCCTTTGACCTGCAACAACGTGTCAGACTCGTGGCAGAGATTCTGGTCAAGATGTGACAAAAATAAGTATATTAGTGAGAAAAATTCATCGTAATCTTAACTTTCGTTTTAATTTGTAAGATCAGGGATTCCTAAACGTAATTAATCTGTAATAGATTAGCTTTCTTTACTGGCAGAGATTCTGGTCAAGATGTGACAAAAATAAGTATATTAGTGAGAAAAATTCATCGTAATCCTAACTTTCGTTTTAATTTGCAAGATCAGGGATTCCTAAACGTAATTAATCTGTAATAGATTAGCTTTTCTTACCTGATGCGGTACTGAAACAGTAAAATGGCTGACGCTTATATGCATTGTCAGAAAAGAAATCATAGGTTATGAAACAGTAAAATGGCTGACGCTTATATGCATTGTCAGAAAAGAAATCATAGGTTAAGGGGTTGACAAATAAAAACATCCCTCGATGGCCCATAGTTGCTCACACCCCCTGTTTAATTTTGTTATCCACACTGAAATGCCCCAAAGATGGGTCACGTTAGTAAATAAAAACATCACTCGGTGACCCACCATCACTTCAACAAATAAACCATCACTCAACCACTCACCTGTAGATAAAACCGGCGCGAAACTCCCCTCGAATTCGCCGAAACGTACTAAAAATCCGTCTCACTGTTGCAGGGAGCAAACACGAGGCCAGGTCCCACCGAGAACTCGGCCGATGTGGAGAACATTCTAAAGGTAAGCTGTCTACAAATCACAATTACCCTTATCAACGCTCGCACCCCTTCCTCTTAAGAATTCTCCAAGTAACCGCGCCGGCGGAAGCCGAATTTTATGGCGTTCCTAGTAGTCCTTGTACACGTTGAACATAGGAAACGTCGAACTTCGCCTTGAGCTAGGCGGTCGTTGGAAGTTGGGCTAGGTCGATAAGCCAATTTTCTCGCCGATACAAACGCTATCTCTCTCCCGCGGTCATATCGTGGCTGTCGTTCAACCGAATCGACCCACCGTTTTGGTCTGGCTGTATCGGCTTTCGTCACCGCTAGCCTGGCGCACAATTTTCGCACCCTACAGGCACGGAAACTTTGTCGCCGCTCGTTAACGGAACCCAACGACGCTGTCGAATCTTTTCTTCTATCGTCTCTCTGTCGTTGAATCACCCTACGTGTGCAACTCGCGTATACACTCGATCGAAATCTGACGAAGACGAAGACGACGAGTAAAAGGAAGAAAGAAAACGATTCGTTACGTCGTCCGAGGCGATTTATAAAACGACTTCTATTTATAGGAACGTATCCTTGAAACGTCTGTTCGATTCGTGCTATTTCGAGCTCGTAAATCCCACGGACACGGCCGTCAAACTAATCGAAAGTTTAGCCAGAGGATCGATGATTGGTCGGGAGACTGGCTGTAAAGTCGTTCACTTTCCTTATTCAACGGTTATCCTTGGAACACGGTGCAAACTTTTCTTTCAACTTCGATACAGCAATTTTTTTTGGGGGGGGATAAATTCACCGGTTATTATCCAGTGGATAAACAAGCGTTTCACAGAGACGAAAATTGGAGGTAGAAGGTTGGCAGCATAGAACAAGCATTACATGTTAATCCTTTGTGAGAGAGAGAGCGAGTACACGAGTCACGTGCCGTCATGATTACCGGCAATCTGCATCGGCGCGCAATCGTGTTTCCGTCTAAATCAACACCGCAAAGCGAGGCAATTCCTGGCGATCTCTCCGTTCATTCTCTTAGTCGACGACGCTTCGTTGGTCATCGAGAGAACTTGCTCTTGTCCCTTGTGACTCCCTTATCGATCCGACGTGTCATTCACGGCACCAAGTGAATATTTTACTTCCCCGGGGTGAATTTATTTATAGGAGAGCTCTCGGTGGCCGGATATCCGAGTACTCGGAATACTCGTAATCCAAATTTAGTGTCGAAATTCGAATTTGAGGATTGGAGTATCTAGATTTTCTTTCCTAATTACTCCAATATGAAGTTTTCTTCTCTGGATTTGTAATAGATTAAAGAAAGCAAGTTTAGGTGAAGGATTAAAATTAAAGAATGTGAAAATTGGTAGATATGGGAGATTTTTCGAGACTGATAAATTCGAGTTTGAGTACTCGAGTATCCGGACCTGTATCGGAGTATTCGAGTGCCTGGATTCGAATTTTCTTGAATTACTCAAATACGAAATTTGTTTTCTTTGGGCTTAGGTTAAAGGAAGCAAGTTTAGGTGAAGGATTAAAATTAAAGAATGTGAAAATTGGTGGATATTGGAGATTGTTCGAGACTGATAAATTCGAATTTGAGTACTCGAGTATCCGGACCTGTATCGGAGTATTCGAGTGCATGGATTCGAATTTTCTTGAATTACTCAAATACGAAATTTGTTTTCTTTGGGCTTAGGTCAAAGGAAGCAAGTTTAGGTGAAGGATTAAAATTAAAGAATGTGAAAATTGGTAGATATGGGAGATTGTTCGAGACTGATAAATTCGAGTGTCCAGATTGTTTTTATTAATTACTCAAATATTGTCGTGTCCTCAATTCAAAGGAAGCAAGTTTAGGTGAAGGATTAAAATTAAAGAATGTGAAAATTGGTAGATATGGGATATTGTTCGAGATTGATAAATTCGAGTGTCCAGATTGTTTTTATTAATTACTCAAATATTGTCGTGTCCTCAACACGAACCACGCGACCGATCACCCCCACCGTTGACTTGCATCGGAGAGAAGCAGAGCGTGTACGGAGTGTACATATTAAAAAACACCGAACAACGTAGTTTAACCTAAAACTAAACAACCAATAGGGAAACATCCATCGTGATATCTTCCAACCGAGAAATAAGATCACGGTAACAAACAAATATGAAGCTTTCTTCTCTGGATTTGTAATAGATTAAAGGAGGCAAGTTTGGGTAAAGGGTTATGATTAAGGAATAGGAAAATTAGTAAGTATGTGAGACTCTTCGACACTGACATTTAGAATCCGACAGACTCGAGTACCGTAAATACTCGTCGCAATCCAAATTTAGTGTCGAAATTCGCGTTTAAATGCACGAATATTCAGACTTGTATTCGAATACTCGAGCGTCCAGATTTTCTTAGTTAATTTCTCAAATATGAAGCTTTCTTCTCTAGATTTCCAATGGATCAAAGAAAGTCTTTAAAATTAAAGACTGCGGAAATCCAAATCACTCGAATGCTCGATAATTCAAGGCTTCCACGTTCCGCAGCATAACCACCTACACCTTCGAATGTAGCCCGTGTCCTTACAGAAAATTATTCCTCCGAAACCCTCCTCCTCCAGAAGCAAACTCCCTCAAAATTGCCATAAAACGTCGCTCACGTCTCACCGCCAAAATTGCCAAAGCATTTGAAACTTCTCACGAAAAGACCCAAGGTTCGTCACAGAAATAAGTGCAACGCGGTCCCGAAACAATTTGTCGCGTGTGTTCATTTCGCGGACTCGATTCCACCGGGCAGAGAGCCGATACGCGTTTGCAATCGGGCTGATAAACTGTCGGGTGACCCAGTTCTATTCGTGAATAGAGAATAATGATGGCGCGGGAATAGATGGCCCTCTCGTGGGAGTCTGCAGGAGAGAATCCGATCTTCCGACTCTCTGTCTCTCTGTACGAAACGTAGACGTCGAACGAGAAATATATCCCCGGACAGGGAAGAGGAAGAAGAAAAGGGGTGGACTGGCGTAACACACGCCCATTCTCGTTCGAATTTGATCGGATGATCGGTCCGCGTAACGAGATTTTCTGGGTATAATGTTCTCTGGTTGCCGGGACAGAGGCAGAGGGTGAGAGAGAGAGAGAGATCGGTAAAAGCCGATCCAGGGCTCGAGTGTTAATTTATGGACACGGCTTAACAGCGATTATCAGCGAATTGATATCATTATGGAGCTGCAATATTGTGACACGCTTGATCGAGTATCGAGATACGGTGCCAGGCAATGGATGTCCCTTGTATGCGTGCGTGTGAACGTCGATCGGTGACGATTAACAGCGGCGGTCGATAGCCGTTTATGGGCGGTAACCGTTTTCCCTTTCGGTTGAGATATCGCTTCATTTTCTTTCGTTACGCCCCTCTTACGTGCCTTTTAAATATTCCACTCTTCGCCGGACGATATACACGCGCACACGTGCACCTTCTACGAAGGGTAGGAAAACTTTTCAGCTCGCGGTATCCGTTCTATGATTCATGAAGAAGTCATTCGGTGAACTGGTAGAGGACTATTATCGGGGGTACATTTATCGGGTTATAAGTACGAGAGTAATGCGAGCGGTGTTATATTGTGCTCTGGCTGGCGCGTTTTTAACACGTTCTGTATGGATAATGTCAATCGTACCGCATGGGTGACTTCTTTTTTTTCTTTTCGCGGTTTGTAGGGATCAGGCGACTTTTTTTCTTTTATGAAACTTTGATGCGCACTGCTGTCGCATTGGGACACGCGTTGGGTTTGTGCAGGAAGTATTACGGGATTTAAATAACTTTTTTTCGGCGAAGTTGGGATTTCGTTTGTTACGCTAATTGGACATTTTAAATTGATCGATAGAGTTGTTACTATTCGCGTTGAATATTTCCAAATAGTGGTAGAATGGTCTACTTTTAGCGTATCGGCGTTGCGAGGCAAATGTGACACCTGATGCACTTATCGAGAAAATGTCAATTTAGGAAAGGAAGTGCAGTGTTACGAATCGCGATATGATTGTTGCGAAACCGATAATTGTCCCTATTTTTGAGTCAGAGCATTTAAGGAATCTACTCGGGATAGGGGACGAGGGTAGTGCTCGGAAGATAGATTATTAACGCACAACAGTTTGCTGTTAAAACTATGTATTTGTGAATGGACGTGAACAGAGCGCGAAATGTCTAGGCTTACTGATAGGAAAATTGTGTGTCGTCTCGTGTGGTGTTCGCTATTTTATAAACTACGTGAGTGTTGTGAAGCTGTCGTAGGTGGTGGAAGTGTGTGGTGATTGGGGTGTGTCTGATGGTGGTGCGAAAGTGGGGAATTGTTCTTACATTTGTTATATTACTTGTCTGAAATTGGTGACGTCGAAGGTCTGTTTTATTGCTTAGGGCATGTGGTGTCCAGGTGTGAGAGTCGTCGAATTTTCGGTGTAATAAAGTAAAACGTACTCGTCGGTACGGCCGAACAACCCAAGCGGCGTCTGTTACGCGTGTGACAGCAGCGAAAGAATTGAAGATTTCAGAACGTATCCGCGAGGTGTGAATTATCTAGTAGTTATTAAGCTGGCGATGTATCAGCAGTAAAACTGAAAGTAACTGTAGGAAAAAAGTGAATTATCGAGTTGGGTATAAAGCTTCGAATTTGATAAACGGAATTGGAATTTCATCGAATTCGGTGAAATGAATTGAAATGAATCGAATTACACTGCAGTTTTGCGTTGCGCGATTAAACTTCCGGGCTCGTTATATCACTAGATCCCAAACGGAATTATTTTTCTTTTCTAACGACCGTGGGTCAAAAACGACCCAGTGCTATGTGTAACAATTCTCATTATCAGCAGTGAACATAAAATTGATAAGAGCAAAAGTTAAATGGGTCAAAATAGACCCGAAGACCTCACTAGGATTAACCCTGTGAACTCCTTTGCCCAGTGTGACTCGACATCAATTTTATTCACAGGTACTCGTACGAATGAAATAATTTTTAAATTGCCAGTTTAAATATGTATCGTTCTTTTTTAATGCTATTTTCAATA